CAATGACACTATTATGAATGAAGATGGAGTCACCTTATATAAGTGTTGAACGTGTAAGTGTTTTTTTTTAAAGTATAAATTTATATAGAAACTTTTAAGTCATTTAAACATTAGACTATGCAATCTTAAAAAAAAAAAATATCAAATATACATTTTTTTTTTCAAATGAGATACAACATAGATATTAATCAAAAATTTTAATATTTTGAGTTATTTTCAACTGTTATGATTATAAAAACTGACCTCTATAAAAACATAATATATTACTAAACCCACCTAACGCGTGGATCATTTTTTAGTGATATAAAAACTGAAAAATTGATCGAAGACACTGAGGAGTGAATATAAGATGTGCTAAGCCTACAACACAATACATGTTTTGATAGATAAGACAAATAAAGTTATTTCCAGTAATATCAATATAATTGACATTACTGAAAGAGATGTAAAAAATTAAATCAAGTAAACTTTTTTGATAGTGTTTGAGTCATTCCACTACGATTTCATTCATTTTTTGCTGTTCGTAAATGTTTCTAATGACAAAAAATAATTTAGATTTTTATTGGTGTCGTGAAAATTTTAAATTAGAGAAAATCTATATAATAACCAAGGTTTAAAAGGGCATTAGGCGCTAAGTAGATGACGACCTTCCGCCTAACGTCTAGAACGTTTAGTCTGGTCTAAACGGTTTAGACGATTTTAGAATAAACCAATATATATTTATATAATATTATATAAAATGTTGAAAAAATATTATAAAAGCTTAAAATTGTCAACTTTTTGAAAATAAATTTAAATTTAACATTTTAAAATAGAATAAAATAAAATGATAGGTGTTTTTATAGTTAAACCGCTATTTTAAATATATTTTTAAACTTCAAAAATATTAAAGACACATTTAAATTCATCTAAAGCCGTCTAATGACCGTCTATTCCGTTTAATAGTCGCATAGTCCGCCTAATCTATCATGCCGCCTAATAGTAACGATTTTAAGAAAATCACCGATTTTAAAAAAATCACCGATTTTAAGAAAATTGAATCCGAATAGAAACGCCTAACGTCTAGACGGCCGCCTAATCCGCTCTCGTGAACATTGACTCCTGAACACTGATAATAACATTAAGAGAAATGGTCTCTAATAGCACTTAAATATGTTTTGTGGACATATTTAGCACCTAATCCTTAAACTTTCAAAAATAGCCCTTTAAACTTTAACGAAATCTTAAATTAATTAATTAAAATGGAAAAGTCAATTTCACCATCATCACGAGAAGCTTACGATTTTGATTCCGGTGAAACTATCGATCTCAGATATTCAATTCCAATCTCAGATCTTCGGGTAAGTGCTCGATCTCTATCATCAATTTCTTCATCAATCATGTTAGATCATAATACGTTAAGATTTGACAATTAATTTTTGGGATTAATGACAAGTATGTCGGAGATTCAGTCAAAGAAGCTTATGCTCGTGCTAAATCGGCGAAATCTCCGACGAATCCACAAGCTTTGTTTATTGAGGAAAGATCATGTGTATGGAGCTATGTCGATCTAAGATTGTAACGGATTTGTATCTCGTGATCTCTAGTCATGTCCTTGTTTTTGTTTAAATGGTTCCTGGAGTTGATTAAATTGTGTTAGTGAATTAAAGTTTGGATGATAAAGACGAAGTTTGCATCTACGAGGAACTTGACGATTTGGTACTTGGAGAACTTGAGGTAAGCATACAAAACTTCTTATCTCCATGCATTACCATTAATCTTATAAGTTAGGATCTATGTGACGTTTATGCAGGCTGAAGAAGGCACTAGAATGGACATCTCAAATTCTGTGCCACCAAGTGATACATGTTCAACGCCTGAAAAAGGACAGGGCAATTATTCATTAGTTTTGCCTCCTGCTCGAGATTCTGCTGTGATTCCTATAGGAAATTCACATTCAACGGCTGCACATGAAAATCAGAAGGTAAAAACTCAATTTCATAGGTTTTAGGAAGAATACATTTAGTTTTAGGATGACCTTCCTAAATACTGCAATATACAGATATGATCCGAACTAGTCGTCTTTTTTTTTTTTTTCAATTTTAACTGTTTGTTCATATGCCTATCTATCTTTGTGTTTGTAGGAACCTCATCCTTCAGTTAGAACTTCTTCTATCTCTGCTGCACATGAAAACCAAAAGGTAAAAACTCAATTTCATAGGTTTTAGGAAGGATACATTTAGGTTTAGGATGACCTTCCTAAATACTGCAATATACAGATATGATCAGTTTCTAGTCGTCTTTTTTTTTTTTTTTTTTTTTTTTTTTTTTTTTTTTTTAAATTTTAACTCTTTTTCATATGCCTATCTATTTTTGTGTTTGTATTAACCTCATCCTTCAGTTGGAACTTCTTTTATCTCTGTTGCACATGAAAACCAGAAGGTAAAAACTCAATATCATAGGTTTTAGGAAGGATACATTTATTTTTAGGATGACCTTCCTAAATACTGCAATATACATATATGATCCGTTTCTACTCGTCTTTTTTTTTCAATTTTAACTCTTTGTTCATATGCCTATCTATTTTTGTGTTTGTAGGAACCTCATCCATCAGTCAGAACTTCTTCCATCCCTGTGCCATATAGTGATACATGTTCAACGGCTGAAAAGGGAAGAGGCAATAAGTCATTGGATTTGCTTCTTGCTCCAGATCGTAGTCCGATTCCTATAGACAGTGTACATTCAACACAAGGTGCTGATGATATATATGTTAATAAATATTTCATGAACAAGACTGAGTTAATGCAGAAGATGAGGACATGGGAGTTGGAGTATAAGTTTGAGTTTAGGTCTCGATGGTCTAACAAAGAGAGAGTGGTTTTGGTATCTGTAGATGATAAATGTACTTGGAGGATGTGTGCAATGAGGGTAGACTCTTCTGATTTCTTTGTGGTGAAGAAGTATTGCCATGAGCACACATGTGGCACTACACATAGAAATGCAAATCATAGGCAAGCTACTGCGAAGTTATAAAATCTCTTTTTATGTCATGATGTGTTTTGTGTTTCATAGAAATATATATGTTCTTTTGTACAAGATCTTATAATTAGAAGTTTGGCTCACTGGTTACATGTTCTATTACAAAAATAATAGGTCCCAGTTTCGAAGGAACTAACTATTACAGCTTTTTTTTTAGGGAAGGTCTTCCTGAATATGTATATATTCTTCCTGAATTTTTGGAAATCCTTCCTGAATTTCAAAAATTGTTTACTTTTGCATAGTTTGCCTCATATTAATCACAAATTACACATTTTTGAGGGTCAATGATCTATAAAATCTCTTTTTATGTCATGATGTGTTTCGTGTTTCATAGAAATATATACGTTCGTTTGTACAAAATCTTACAATTAGATGCTTGCTCGCTGGTTACATGTTCTATTACAAAAATAATAGGTCCCGGTTTCGAATCTTGGTGGAAGTAAGTATTACAGTAAGGATATGCTGAGAGCATACAACTGAGTGGATAATCTGTAGGAAACATATGATATCTGACAAAATACCATACATTGAATATCTAAAAAAAAAACATAAATATAAACAGATGATACTTTTCTAGTATTTATAAATCATAGAACCAATAACACATGATTTTAATTAAGATTTTAAAATCAATGATTATATTTTAATCAATTATTTTAAAATCAATAACACTTGACTCGGCTAAGCTTTTCAATGTGTTGTTGACATGTCAATTTTTTCAATGGACCACTGAAAGTCTGAACCCATGTAAGAGTCTGGTCCTTAAAGTTAGCACACGCTTGGAATTTTTTCTAAATTGTAAGGTTCACGGAGGTCAATGCTTAGTTTTAGCTAATGATATGAACGAACTCAAGATCTTAAATGAAAAAACTCACATACAATGTTGCAATTTTGACAGGTTTTGAAGAATTACACGACACACAAAACAGAGAAGACATGAAACATTTTAAGCTATCAAATGTTAGATTCAGTTCAATCAACAAGCCTAACAAGAACTAGAAACTAAAACATGACACTACACTATAAACTTAGGCAACCATAACTCTAAAAATCTGATGAAACATGATCAAAAAAAATCTTTATCGATTTCAACTTATCACAGAGAGATGATTACTTATAACCTGGACAAAGACTAGAAACTCTCCGATATGAAGTTCAAAAACAAAAGTATTCCACTTTTTGTAAGAGATCCACAAAAACCAAATCGTTGGAGACGATTCAAAACACCAAAAAGAAGAGAAAAGAGCTTAAGAGGATATGAAAACATACTAATGGGTCAGGGCGGAGAAAATGGCAGCTTAGCTTCTAGCGAAACAAAAAGGAAACCGTGAAGAATTGGCGAAACAGAGTTGGCGAAAGGTAACCGTGAAGAATTGGCGAAACAGAGAGGAATCGTGAAGGATTCCGACGGAGGCGACGAGATCGTTGGTCGAAGATGAGAGAAGACGAGACCGACATAGGCATTTAGGGTCTCAAATTTTCTATTTTCTGTTTTAGTTAATGTTTAATTAAAAATTTTGGGTGCTATTTTGGAATTTATGAAATATGGAACTATTTTTAGAAGAAAAAAAGTTTTTTTGGGCCATTTGTGTAAATTGCCCTAACATTATTATATGTTAGGATATAATGATCTTATTTATATATATTCAATCTCTGTTCAAAAATTTAAGTTGTATATTTATTTTTTTCGTTTTTCATAATATTTCATTTAATTTTTGTCAATTATTGTTTTTATTTAATGTGTGATTTAGTTTAGTTTTAATGTTTTTGTTTTAATAAATAAAATATGTGGAGCCCATAAAAAAATATATTATGATGACATGGATGCTGATGTGGACACCTTAAATGGAGAGAAACTCTCCCATTATATATATAGATTTAAGTGTTTTTGAAAAAGAAATGTGTATGACGTGGCGGTTGTGATTCACCGCTTATCGAGAAGCCTCTTATCTACTCAGAGGGTCCAAGGTGAAAATAAATGTTTCCATTAAATTAAATGCCAAAGACGGATCTTCAATTGAAGATTCTCACTTTGAATTCGAGATTAAACCCGACCCGGATCCGAATCTGAATCCAACGCCAGCTCTCAACCCACTTCGGTGCTTCAATTGCCGTCAACAATTTCTGTTGTTTACCGGAGAAACATCTCAAAATCATTCGAAAAATTCGAACTTTTTATTTCGCTCGATATACGATTCGATTTTGTATGATTTTGATCCCGGAACTGGATCAGATTTCATCAGAGAGTTTCTGGAATTCGCTTTAATCGAGAAGCAATTATGAATCTCGAGAGTGAAGGATGATCCAGAGAAGAAGACTGGAACTTTCAAAGGATTGATTTTTAACAATCATGTGGCTTTCCTTCTTAAGACCCAGAGATCGATTCTCCTTAGCCGAACTCAGGTTTTAATTTTTGTTTTGATCGGCTCCGATTTTGCAACAAGTTTTAATTTTTGCGATTTATCTCTGTTGGGTTTAATTTCAATTGTGGTTGAGATTATCTTTTGGTTGTGAGTTCTTTAGCGATTTTGTAAATTCTGGCAAAAAAATTGTTTCTTTTAAGGAACTGGTAGACTCTTTGGTATTAGAATTGGTAGTTTGCAATTAGTTGCTAGGGTTTTTGGGAAGTGGAATGGTTGATGAGTTGAGTAGTGCCATTGTAGGGCAACTATATAAGTTCATCTTCCCCAGTTTCAGGGGTCAAAGGGACTATCTTGACCATAGGAGAATGATTTGTTTGCGGAAGTTCATTGAGATCGTAGTGTTACGACATTAGTTGTTCGTTGTTATACCAGATGATGATGAAACGTAGTAATTGTTGAAAGTTTGGTTTTGTTTTTTATATAGGTATTTGACTGACCAGCTGAGAAAGATTCAGATAGTGAACGAGGCTAATAAGGTTAGTGGACATAAGTCTTTGCATTTTAGCAAATCTCTTGGCATTGTTGTTTTGTTAGGCTTTGATGTTTGTTTACCGGGTGTCATTTTTTGAAGGATCTCGTTGTCGAGGCACTGAGATCGATTGCGGAGATATTAACTTATGGTGATCAGCATGACCCCTTATTCTTTGAGTGAGTCTTTTTGCTAATTATCAGTCAGCACCTTTAGATTTTTCTATTGGCATTTGTTAATATTTGCCATTGTTGCAGATTTTTTATGGAGAAACAAGTAATGGGAGAGTTTGTACGTATTTTGAGGGTTAGCAAGACGGTAACAGTTTCCGTACAGTTGTTGCAAACCATGAGTATTATGATCCAAAACCTAAAAAGTGAACAAGCCATATGTGAGTTCATTAGATGCATTATATTTTTCTATGAGAATTCTCATGATTATAGTCTATTGATGATCTTCCTTTGGAACTCCTTGCAGATTACTTGTTCAGTAACGAATATGTAAACTATTTGATAACATATACATTTGACTTCCAACACGAAGAGCTTCTATCTTACTACATATCCTTCTTAAGGTACATTTTCCTGCTGATGTCTCGGCTTCAGGAAGTACTTACCGACTGTGTCTGATAACTGTTTTGTTTGTTTTATGTAGAGCGGTTAGTGGGAAGCTAAACAAGCATACAATATCGTTGCTTTTGAAGACCGAGAACGTGAGTATTCTTGTAGTTTCATGTTCCTTTAACTTTTATATTCCTTCATGGATTTTCCTGCCATATTTTAATTCTGCGTTTCTGCGTCTAGGATGTAGTAGTTTCTTTCCCCCTTTATGTCGAAGGCATACAATTTGCATTTCATGAAGAGAACATGATACGCACTGCAGTTCGTGCCCTGACTCTTAATGTATATCACGGTCAGTCAGTTCTAATAGTTCTTTTGACTTTTCACTCGTATGATATACGTAATCAGAACTTTTAGCAAAATTTTTGATGCTTTTAATTTGTTTTTGCAGTTGGTGATGAATCTGTGAATGATTATGTAGTTAGTCCACCGCACACCGAGTACTTTTCAAAATTAATTTCATTTTTCCAAAAGCAATGCATGGATCTAAGTGCAATGGTGTTGAACACTCTAAAGTAAGACTCAGTGCAATTTCATTTCCCAGGGAAATAGCTTGTAAAATTGATCATTACTTATCACAAACCCTTTTCATCTACCTACTTAGTTTGTTTCTGTATGATCTTGGTAAATTATATTATGAAAGATTTTCATATTATTCTTGCTACAGGAGCCCATCTCCGGATTCAGGTGGAAAATTGTTTTCTGCCGTTGATGGGATTGAGGACACCTTGTACTACTTTAGTGATGTTATCTCTGCTGGCATACCTGATATCGGGAGGCTGATAACAGATCACATTCTGCAGCATCTAACTCTTCCACTTCTTCTCCCGTCTTTATGCTCCGAGGCTGTAAATGTACAAAATATCACCTTTTTCCTCTTAATTTTATTCTCAGGGGTGATTTATTTGTTCCTTTGGGATTTTTTTTACCCTTGTGGCCTTGTTAGGTTTGACTATTTGCTAGAGTACCACTTTTAGTTCACTAAAGTATTGCTTTTGTGATTATTTCAGGATATATCAGTTGATCCTGTCACTTCTCTCTACCTGCTTTCATGCATCCTGCGGATAGTTAAAATCAAAGATTTGGCAAATATGACTGCTGCTACTCTTTTCTGCCCTGTAAAAGCATTCATTTCAAGTTCCCTGGTGAAACCTAATAACAGCTTGGCTCCTGAACTCCTTACATATGGAAATGGGCATCCAGACAAGGGTGTTACTGAGGAGGCAGATCAACAGTGTTCAAGCACTGCAGTCATGAGTGAGGATGGAAAGTCTCACGTTTGCAGTGAAGATACTCCGAAAAGTATCTTCAACAATTCTCATATGACGTTTAGGTAACATGTTAGCAAATAAGACCGTGAATGAAGTTGAGATAGTTGCTTTTTACACTCGAGCTACGTATGATGCTGTCTTAGTATTGTCCCTTTTTTTAACTATTAAGCTGTTGAAGTTTTTTTTTTGTTTTTTTTCTTATTTTTTTGTAACTAGGGAGACTTTACTTCAGTATATTTCTGAGGGAGATGATGTACAAGCTCAGGGTTCCTTGTTTGTGCTAGCCACTTTGCTGCAGACAAAAGGTATTGCCATATTGGCAGTGGCATTGTAAAGATTCTTCTCGCCTTTTCTTGTTTTGACATCTTACATTCTGATTTTGGTAGAACTTGAAGAGTCAATGCTAGATGCTTTTGGTATTCTTCCTCAGCGTAAGCAGCACAAAAAACTTTTGCTGGTGAGTTTTTATCATTATCCTTTATTCTTGTGCATAATATATTTTCCTGCAAAGCCAGGGCAAATCTCATCTGCATGGATATTGTTACTAATACCTTCTACTGGACCATCTACTATAGCATGGACCAAAAAATATGAACAACCTTTTTTTCTTATTCAAAACTTAATTGGTAGCCATCTCTGACAGCAATCTTTGGTTGGGGAGGACACTGGTGAAGAACAACTGTTTTCACCGCGAAATGGTTCAATGAGAGATGGCTTAAGTAGTGAACTTGATTGGTATCTACGGAGGTTGGAGGTACTTCACTGCACTCTTAAACTCCATCTCTTTGGTGTTGTATTATTCTGTGATTGACTTATTCGTTCAAGTAACTTCAACAGGAGCAGTTTGGAGTGTGCTGTTCATTGCCTGGGGCTGCAAGGTGCCCCCGTGTACATAGACATCAGGTATATTATGAATGTTTGTAAACCTAACGTACTAGCCTAGCTTCTTCTGAAATTCCAACTTGCTAAAGATTGGTTCTTTTACATAACAGTGCAAAAGTTCCTGTCTTAAGTTAATAACAAATATGGTGTAGGTGGTGGATACATTGGTCACTCTTCTCTGCCGAGAAAACATATCTGCAGAAACATTATGGGATGGAGGATGGCTTTTACGCCAATTGCTTCCTTATAGCGAGGCAGAATTTAATCGCAAACATCTCAAGATGCTGAATGTATATTGCTTTCAAGATGTTTTTTTTTTGGTTTGACACTGTTTCTCTTTCCCCTCTCCCTCTCTTGATTATTTACCAGTTTCCTGTTTATGGCAGGTTTCGTATGAGAAATGCAAAAGTGCCCTTACCCGAGAAATTAAAGGTACCTGGCCTGATCTACTTATCACAGTACTGCTTGATGAGTGGAGAAAGTGCAAAAGAGGCAAGTAAAGAAGCGAATTTTGGATATGTTGGATTTTGATTATAAGATATGTTCAATGAATCTGATACCAAATCTCTTCTGACAGTAATCGAAGCTCCATCACCTCAAAAAGAGCCTAAATCTGTTCTTCTCCAGCTGGATAGATCCTCTTCTAATGGTAGAATATTTATTACACATTTTGCGCAATTAGCTGATAACAAATGTGAATGATATGGGTATTCCTTGTTGAAACTCTATTTAAGCAAACCATTAACACTTGAAGATCTTTTATAGATGCTGTTAGCGAATCATCATTCACAGCTGGTGAAAGAATGTGCGAGGTGGTAAAGGTATGTTAATTGTTTTCTCTTTATATTTCTATCAGCGCTTGTCGTTCATGTATATAAAGACATACATTTGATAATCAAATCAACCCTTTCCTCCTTAGGTTTTCGTGCTTCTTCATCAACTCCAAATCTTCTCGCTGGGTAGGCCTTTACCCGAGCAGCCTCCGATTCACCCTCCAGCCAACCGATCTGAAACGTCTCGTGCCACAATTGCTGGGTTGGATGTTTCAGTCCCAAAACCTGGCACCGAACTGAAGCTAGGTTAGCACATGATGCTTTTATGCTTGTCCTACTTTCACCATCTAATCAATTACATTATGTCACGATCAATTCTCTTGTATTTATTAGAATTCCAGTTTGATTGATTTGTCTTTGTAGTTGATTTAATATTTTGCAATTTCCTGGTGCAGTTGATGCTGTACCCTGTAGGATTGCCTTTGAAAGAGGTAAGGAACGCGATTTCTCGTTTCTAGCATTATCATCTGGTGAGTCTGGGTGGATTGTCCTTGCTGATCCAGATAATGGAATCGTCCGTGTAACCGCACCTTTAGCCGGCTGCAAAGTACGTAATCACCTTCACCGTCTTCTTCTTTACTGAAAATGCTTGTGAAGACCACACAGCAAGGACAAAATGATAATCATAGTAAATGATCTATATAATCTTTTGTTTGCTTTTCAGCCCCGGATAGATGAAAAGCACCCGAGATGGCTACACTTGAGAATTCGACCATCTACACTACCATTGTTGGATCCAACAAAGCGAGGAGTCTATGAGAAGCTCAAGTCCAAAGGTTTAGTAGATGGGAGATGGATATTAGCATTCAGAGACGATGAATCTTGCCTCTCTGCTTACTCAATGGTTGCAGGTGAGATCGATCAACAATGCAGCGAGGTAGAAAGAAGGTTAAGGCCATTGTTTGACCTAGAAAGAAACCAACAAGAAGACCAATGAAACATCACACTTCCGATGCATTGCCTTCATCGACTTTGTCTTCATCGGGTTTAGATCTCTCATTCAAAAGTTTGGTATTGATCTTCCCCATCTTGAATATAAGAAACTCCAGGCAATTTAGATGCACTCTTAGGAGCAGCTTCCATGATTCTTTCAACGTACCCAGTTTTCAGGTGCCTTGTTTCGCAAGTTTCGTGTCCATCATTTTTTGTTTGTTTGTTTTTGTTTATTAATTTTTTTTTTTTTTTTGTAATAGTGGTCTTAATGTAACATCATTGTATAAAATACCATTTGCTTCATCTACATATCCTCTAACGACCATACCTATGTATCAACTATCAAGACATTGTAGTTTGCAACATAAGGAGATTCTCTCATTTCCATCAATGAGCTCCTAAAGAAACAAGGTTTTTTTTTTTTTTTTTGGCTAAACTAAACAAACTTTTTATTCAGCTGATGTGTTCTTCCTCATTACCATGCAATAAATTGTTATATATTACAGCATCGGGCACCAAAACCCTCAGGAATTTCATATTAGAGCATTCATAACAAGGCCAAGACTATGAAGCTATGACATTGGAGAAGCCCAACACAAGCCCATGTAATTAGGTCTAAGTAGGTTCATATATATAGTCTCTTGCCTTGTTCTAAAAATCAGGCGGCCGCCTAGACGCTGATCGGAGGAGCACCGCGGCGATTTTGTCTAAATCGATGAAAAAAATCGGAGATCCGATTTTTTGTCCGCCTAGAACGCCTAGCCCAATTTTTTTTTTTTTTTACTTTTTTTATTTTAATCTAAAATTCAAAACGTCCTACTTATGTTCGTAATTTGTATAAAAATCATAAATTTGAAATTAAAATCTTGTTTTCATGTGTTTAATACAATTTTAAAAACAATATTATATAAATTTCTTAATTATAATGGATTAATATGTTTTAAAAACATTAAATAGCCCTAAAACTAATCCCCGATTAATCCCCGTGTAATCCCCGATTTTCTTGCTAGGCGCTAGGCGCACCCTCACCGCCCGACTAGCGCCTAGCGATTTTTTAAACACGGGTCTCTTGTAATGAACATCATAGTGTTAACTTTGAGAGTTGTCTCAAAACAACTCTCCTTCTCATCTTTATGAAAGTATCGATTGAATCATTGTGTTTTTGGTGACAACAAAGTAATCTTCCTCTTTTAGTTTCTTTGCATAATAAAGCTCTTAATAAGCTACTGCATTTTCAGTTTTATATATCTCTTTCAATAAGCTCTTATTGAGCAAGAATCTATCTTGTTTAGAAATGCTAACATTTCACACCTAATTTCGTAATGTGATTCGATAAGACGTTTGCAGTAATAAACTACGGAATCAAACCAATCCTTATGTATCAAAGATAAGCTAAAACTTTGTTTTACACACACTATGCAATAAGCATAGACAAGACATTAAGCAATTAAGAGAGAAAAAAGATTTCACATGCCCCTAATCCGATGTCGTTGCATGCCTTTATTGCCTTCGATATAATAACACAACGACGTCGTTTTTGTTTTATTTTTATGTTCGTTTTCAGATAAATCCAAAAAATGCGAAGGGTAAAATGGTAATTTATCCAAAAGCCTGTCAGTTCTTAACCGACCACTCCACCACCGGTGAAAAGACGACAGCTTTTTTCCTTTTCTCTTCGGCGGGAGAAATTGTGACTATGGAAGAAGAGTCAGATGTAAAAGACTATCTTGTGTTTTTGGTTTCTTTAACGATCTGGGTTTCTCATTTCTTGTTGATTACGAGCTTCGTTTTTACTTTTTTTGTTTGTTTGTTGTAGAAAACGACAGCTTTAAAGAATGCTTACGCAGAGATGATTCTAAACACAGCGAAAGAATCAGCGGCTAGGGTTATCGTTTCCGAGAGAAAATCAGCTCAGTTTCATCACGATCTTCACGGAACTAAAGACGAAGCTCTTCGTTTACTTGTCCGATTAAAACAAATGATTGATGCTAAGGTAAAGTAATCTTCTTGAGATAAAGTTGTTAGCTTTTTTTACTTTCTTGTCTCTCTTGTGTTAGATAAATTTGTTAGCTTTGTTGTTATTCATTGATTTAACAGACGATTGAAGCAGAGATTACATCATCAAACCAGCAACGACAGATTGATGTGCTTGAAGCTCAGCTTCAAGAAGCTGAAGATATTATTACTGATTTAAGGTTAGAGTTGAGATGGGTTAGAGATAAATTGGAGAAAGCTAGGAAGGATCAAGAAACCATTTCTGCTCCAGAGGTTGTTGTTGGAAACGTGTATCAGAGCTCATTAAATGATGATGAATGTTGTGGCGATGAAACCATTTCTGTTACAGAGGTTGTTGCAAGTGACTCTCTTTTGAATCAGAGCTCATTGTATAGTGATGAATGTGGAAATGACAGAATGCTGTTTGATGGGTTGGGTGTTGAAACTTCAAAGGTTTGTGAGTCTGAATTGGATGCAAATATCGGAAACAAGAAGCTTGAGCTGTCGAGGAATGGGTGTACACAGAGGATTCATGCTTTGGAGAGTAAAGCATCTGTTTCTGCAAGTGAAGAGGAACGGCGCATAACTGAAAAGGAAAGTGAAGAAAACTTGAGCTCAGGAAACACAAGATGTCTTGTTCTTGCTCTTAGAGCCAAGAATGCAGAGGTGATACCGTTAAAGCCGTCAAATTCACTAGGTATCAAGAAGTCTTGCAAATTACAAGGAAGGAGAAAGACAAGGTGGAGTAAACGAATAGCTTCACTAGTTAGGTCTCAAAGTCAGCTTATTAAACCTTGTCAATCTCAGTCTGATATTCTATGTTCCAAGAAATCCTTGGAAAATTCAGATGGCGAAGACTCAATGGAGACACATCTGTCGGTAGAGAATGAGGAGGTTGTTTCCCTTAATACCTGTAAAGGTTTGGAAGAACATTTGCAGCATAATGTTGATGGTATAGGTATCATCCGTAAAGGGAAAAGAAGCAAAAATGTGGAACATTTGGATGGTTTAAATCATACTGATCATGTGGTGGAGGCCTGTCAAGAATCTAATTTAGTCTCTATTGATGTCGAGGATGGTGAAAATAAGGCAGATACACCTAAAAATGAGACTAAGATAAAGCCGCATCCTCGTTTGGATCCTGTGTTAACTTCAATTGTGGATCCAACGTCAGGATCTAAACATGCTACTGTCATCAGTGTGAATGCAGCAAATCGATCAACAGATAAAGACTTGAAATCAAGAAAAGAAGACGTGTTGGTAAAATGTGAAGGTGAAGAAGATAGTGTGGTTCCAGCTACCAAAATGAGCTCTGATCAGTTGGTCAATCCATGTTCTGATTTGAAAGCTACTGCAGTGGTATCAGATCAAATCAGTGAGTCTCCGAGAACTGACGGAAATCGCCTTGTGAAGTATACATTCCAAAGGAAACGAAAAAGGGATCGTTAAACCAAAACGGATGGTGCAAGGGAACTAAAGTTTCATTATCCATCTTGACACCTTATTGTGATAAAAACCAATCTTGTTTCTTGCTTTTGAGATTCCACCTCTAGTGACATGTTCATAACCAATATGTGAGTTTTGAAAGTGTTCAAAAGCCCATTAACCTCGAACAGATCCATTAATTTGATAAAAATAGTCATATTTTTTCTAGACACACCAAAACCAAAATCGAATTTGAACCATAACCAAAACCATAATGAACCTCGTTATAAAAAAATTATGAATACTATAATCTGATGCAATTGCAACCCATGCAAGTGATAAAACATACACAACCATTTTTAAAGCAGTCGTCTTTTGACGAGATCCTAGCCACTTCATGTAGTTTTTGCATCCAAAAACGGATGTCTTCTACGAAAGAATTGTACCAAGCTCTTAATCAACTTAACCAAAATTATTGACAATCACTTTTACACCAAATATAATGGTTTGGAGAGAATGGTTTGTTATTTTTGATAAATTTTCTATTCAAAATGTATAATTCTTTCATCTTTTGAATTTGTAATGCTCGAAAACAATGACTTGAAAACGACTAGTGAAAAAATACTAAAAAAAAAAATCAGCAATAAAGAATAGAGTGAATTTGTGCAGAGGTAAAAATGGGGTATAAAATTAGGAAATAGACAATAGGGAGGTTTGTCTCTGACGATGTCCAAAAAAAACGATTGAAAAGGGGTTTAGTTTTGCCGGTTACTACAAAAACCCAATGCATATTTTGTCAATGCGCGTGGGGGAGAAAGGAAAAAATCTGACATTTAATACATGCTCAACAGTTGAATTGACCTTTACGCGGCAACAGACAGAAATAAGTGACGATTATTAAATGCGACTGGCTTTAGTTTGAATCTATAACAAAAACGTATGTGCAGAAATTACAAATTTTAAACCACTAACTTAATTGCGTAAATATCTATTAATAAATTTAGTTTTATATAGATCGATATATAACTCTATGAAAGTGCATGGATATGTAACTAAATTTATAGATAACTATTAACTCCTCAACTAATTAGGACATGTTTAACATATCGTCAATCTACGCTCTTTAGATCTGCATCTACGCTTTGTAGATCTATATGTAAAGGTCCAAAAATTGTGGTAAATCCTTATTTGTATCGTGAAAATTGTCTCTTTCGGCAAATAAATGTACCATCTAATTCTCTAGTAAAACAGTGTGAATAGTAAACACGGCGATGTATTTCTGCTTGATTTGAATGAATTCGAACAGAATTGAGAGAGTAAAAGAGAGAAATATGAACTAAATTGGGAAATAACCCAACACTTGCGTTCACCAATCATACACTTCATTGCCCATAAAAATCCTTATACTTCTGTGTGTAGAGATGTTAGACTCCGTCTAAGATAAGCAGTTCACATTAGTGATGTATCATCATTTGGTAGTGTACAAAAGAATCATATTCATGAGAAGTTGTCCCTATATTTCTAAGAATCTATATTCTTGAGAAGTATATACTATTATTAAATTATAAAATTTAAATTTTTTTAATGAATGAATCTATATTAATTTTAAAAGTCGGCAGTAAATTTATGTTAAATAATTTTGAATAAAAATTGTTCAATGCAATTATATATCAATATACATATAAGTATATAATATTTTTTGGTATTAGAACATTTGCACAACAGAAAACGCATGTGTTTTGGAAAGAAGAACAAACATGGGGCCACACACTACCATGACTCCATGAGAAAAATAACATGCCAGAGAGGAGCAGGCGTGTAATGTGTTTCAATTATTATATTTTATAGTAAGATTGTTATTCGATTTTTCAACTAAAAAAAGGTTATAGTTACATTTTTCCAATTCTGAAAAAATGTTCCCTCCTCTCAGCTTAGCATGGAGTTCCCATTAAACTTAACTTTGAGTAGCTAACACTTCTCTCATTTTTTGTAACATTTGGCAAAAATTGCAAGCTATCCACAAGCCATACAAGAGTTTATTTTAAAATATATTTTCTGTTTAAACTAAATATTTACAAAATATACATATTCATATTATTAAGTACATATATTTAAACTTCAACTAAAACTAATGATAAAAACATAAATATAACAAAATACATATGTTTATTATTTACGTTTTTGTTAAATAAATAAAAGGCTAATAGATTTTTCTGCGTTAGCGATGTTCTAAACTTTTGTGACTATTCTAGCGGTGCGGAATGGACTAATCCGCGGACAATCTACTCGATTGACAAGTCTAATTTCGAGCTATTGCATGTATTAACAATGTGGAAATTAATTATCTTAGTGATTAATTTTAATAATTATCATAATTATAAGAAGAAGACTATAAAATGTATCCCAGAAACTGAGGTGAACAATATTTTTTTTTCCGGAAAATAAGATTGAAAAATATATATTTTTTTTTTTGAAACGAAATAATTTTTTTTTTAAATACGAAATAAATTTGCATATAGTGGAAGTTGAAAATGATTGGTTTAAGGAAAATGGTCCCAAAGAGAAAAAAGGGAAACAAGAAAAGCAGACAAACATAAGAAACAGAGGAAATCAGAAAAGCCTGAGAAGAAAGTAATAATAATATGTCTAGAATAAGAGCAGATTTGAAGGGCATGCTTGTTCTTTGTCTCCTCCACCTTCTTGTTCTTCTCCTTCTCATGTCTTTTCATTTTCAGTTTGTTCTTTCTGTTCGCCATTTGGTCTTCCACAATCGGACCCACCAAATTCTCGTTTATGAATCTTGAAATTTTGTATAAGAATCGACGGGACGAAGAAGAAAAGAATCAGAGCAAAATAGAGAGAACAATGCAAATGAAGAGAGACATTAGAGTGGAGAAGAAGGAGGAAGAGAACATGTGTACTTCATTGTTGACTGCAGTTGTTGTTCTTTCAATGGCTTGTCTTAAACACTTTTCTTCTGTATCGTATTTGATCGAGCAATGGCGTTCTTTGGTCTTTCTTCTACTCAATGTCGTTCTCTTAGCCGTTTATTTTACCTCGACTCGTCCTAACCCCGGAGGGACTCATGATTTCAAGACTCGTCGAGGAGGTAGATTGAGGATGATGCGAGAGAAGAAGAATAAGAAGACAAGGATGGTGGTGGAACCGGCTTGTTCTGATCAAGATTTCGTAGTCGTTGAGCCAATGGAAGTGATCAAGAAGTGTGTTTTAGTGGAGGAGACGAGAAGGGTTTGTCCTGAATTCAAGGAAACTGTGAAAGATTGCTTGTTTCACAAGAAAGAAGTAGACTTTAAAGGAGAAGAAGATGAATTCGAGCCAGGGAGGTTATCGAACGAGGAGCTAAACGAGAGAGTAGAAGCGTTCATCACGACGTTTAGACAACATTTGGTGCTTGATGCGCAAAGAGGTAGAGATAGAGAAACCGACGAGAAGATGAGATCAAAAGACTCTGACATTAGCTTTTTAGGTCGGGAAGTCACTTGTTCGGTTTAAGAGTTTCTCTAATCTTTGTTTCTCTTAAAATTCGTTCGGTTTTGTTCGTTCTTTGGCTTCGTTTATTTTATGAGTTTGAGCTAATAGCTCAAAAGATCGCATGATGTAATGTCATAAGAACACCAGACTATATTCAAAACTTTTACATAAGAACAAAAAATTGAAAAATATAACCTTCTTCTATGTAAGAAATGAATAATAGACTTTAACTGGTCGGGTTATGGAGAACAACTCAATTTGTTTCGTGATGAGCTTAATAATAGAGAAGTCTAATCAAAAACAGAATATATTTTTTTTTACATAAAAAATCGTGTAAATCAGAGAGATGATCTTAGTTTATATATAATTATTTATATAGATGTTGTTTGTAATTCTATTTGCTAGACTATGGAGAAAAAAATGTATCATTTATGTTCTCTTATTTCGCAAACTATTAATCAAATTACTTTAGTGATTTATGTATTTATATTTTGAAGGAAGAAAAGAACTTGCAGAAGTGCTGTTGTGTGGTTCCTGTATCTATGGAAAGTATTTGTTGAACAATTTGTGATAATTATAAGTAAAATAAACCATTGTAGTATGTGCAAGTCCACGAACATAACACTACAAGGCAGACGGCACTTGACGTCAGTTTATTATGACTTTTACGTCAGTTACAAACTGACTTAAAACAAATAACAACGATTTCATAATCGACGTAATAACCTTCGACGCTAAGTATCTTCACATCAGTTACTAAACCGACACTTACTTTAACGACTAAATCTTTGCGTCGGTTTTACTGATTCTAACAACAGTTTCATGTGACTTAAAAGTTAAAAACTCTTTTCCTTTTTGAGTCAGTTATACTACCGACGTGTATATAATTAATATATTTTATGCTATCTATATATTACTCTAGTCAATTATGTACAATTTCAAATGATAATCTGTATAAAATCTCAATTAATAAAAAAAAATGTTTTTACATAGAATTTAAATGTCAGAGAAACAATATCATAGAATATAAGTGATGTGTATATAAATTTGTCTTCATCACAAATTTATCTTCGTCTTTAGCTCTCCATAGTTCTTAAATTGTTGCTTCTGTAATACACACTTCATCTTGCCTGAAATTAGATACAAGTTCCAGAATTATACATTTTGAAAATATCATCATAAAATTATCAATACAAGTTCTAGAACAGAGTCATAGATTTCCAAAACAGAGTTAAATTAGATAGTTACCTTGTCACTTGATATACTTGATGCAGAACGTTGTTAATAGCAGTAGCATGGTTTATGTTTCCTCCATTCTCATTCTCATTCTCCTATAAAATTAATGAACTTGTAAACCTGAGGAGGTTTCTCTTTTCCAGTTCTCATTCTCATTCTTAGAACTGTTAATCTATATACTCCACCACTACAATTCTCATTCTTAGAACTGCTAATCTTATAGTAGAACATTCATTTACTTACATGGAATTGAATGTCTCTGCAAGCTTCAAGAAGAACTTCAAGAGCACTAGCAAGCTTTATGTTTCCACTATTCTCATTCTCCTATAGAAGTAATGCATTTTAAAATTGTAGTACTCTTAACGTTGTTAATCTTATAAGAATACATTCACTTACTTGATATTCTCCACACTTGCTTTCCTGAGACATTTTCTTCTGTAATATTCCCATGTAAATCTAAAAACCAAAATCATGTTAATTATAAGAACATCCCATATATACAAGTAGTGTCTTACAAATATATCATATACAAACCTCTAACATGAACTTTCCACTTCCCACTTGCTAATTCTGGACCAAGAGGAGGTGGAGCAAAGAGATTTTCCATCTGTAGAATTTAGACCTATAAAATTAGAAACACAAGACGTTAGTATTAACTTTGGACTCAAAAAACAGACAACTAAAGTAGAAACTTTTTAAAAACCAGAACACTCAAGTGTCAAAACCCAACTTTAAAATCATACAAACTCAAACCAACGCTAAAATACAATGTCGTTCACTTTCAAAGGAAGTCTATCAATACAATGTCAATGTAATGGAAATCAAGTATTTGCTGTTCGTATATACCTGACTCTTCTTGTTTGGGTGTTTCTCAATCCAGTTTATGAATTGCTCAATCTTTTCATCAATTTTATTTTCCACTTCTATTTCACTGCATTGTACCTGTGACATATGGGAAAAAAGGAAAACCTACCAATATATCAAAATCAAAGCATACTCACCCATCTGGTTAAACTAGTAAGCTCCCTTCTGTATCATAACAAAAACCATAGAGAGGAGAGAAAGAAACTGAAATCTTACGTAAGTGATCTCAAAAAGCTCCAAATCAATATCTTTAGGGCAGATAAGACCAAGCGCACGATGAAAGACAATGGTATGTAGAATACCTGCATCAAATTACACCTTCTCATATTTAAAATTACACAAAAGTAACACAGAATTGAAAAAAAAGTTAATTCTACAACCAAAACAACAAGAAATTGAGCACCTACAAATTTCACTCAAGCTATTCAGATTCATGTATTGAAATTGATCTCCAAAACTCAAAATTCCAATCAATGTCTACAGAGATAAGCCTGAGAAAGACCTAATCTGGGATCTAAAGCACAAGATCTTAAACTAAAACATGATTAGATCCATAAGAGCCGATTTTGTTTCTATACCAAGAGTTACATAAAGCTACTTATGTAAACAAAATTTAAGAAATTCAAACCTTACGAACGATTAGAAAAAAATCAAATCGAGACTGATGAACGATGAGATTGATGAAGGTATCCAATCGAGACTGATGAACGATGAGATCGATGAACGATGAGATCGATGAACGCTTGAAATCTACTTAGAAGTTCAGGAAAACGAAAAACCCCATGATTTCTTCGATGAAATTGAATTCTCCGAAGAAGAAGAAACTCATGTTTTCTGGATTTGAGAAGAAGCTTTGGAGAAGAAGAGGATGAAATTATTCTTCGAAGAAAGAAGAAGTGGTTGATGTGTTTAGTGGTTGGGCCTTAAATCCAATAAACAAATTAGAAGAACCCAAATTGAATCCGTAATAAAAATGGTCCAAAAGTACTTTTGCGTTGGTTTATGACGTCGGTTTAATAACCGAATCTAAATCCCTTCTTTTTAAACAAATTTTACGTCATTTTCTAAACTGTTGTTAATTAAATGACTTTACATTGTAGATTTCTTGTAGTGTAAGAGCATCTTTATAGGTAAGCTCTTAGCAAATTCTTATGTAGATCTTAGGCATTAATTGATTTAATTTAATTCAAAAATCAAACTTATAGTTAAGAGACATCTCTTAGCTAAGAGCCAAAACTGAAGCTAAGAGACGGCCACATGTCCGTTTATGAGTGGTTGATGAGTTAAATTAGGCATCGATAAATAAACCGAACCAAAATCGATATCGAACCGATATATTTCGAATAACCGAAAATACCCGAAATACATTTCAAAATAATTAGTTATTTATATACTAAATAATCAAAAATACTTGAAAATATATAAAAATAGTAAAAATACTCGAACATAACCGAAAAATATCTTAAGTAACATAGGGAATTGCTAGAAGTATGTATTTAATAACGCAACAAGACAAAAAAAATAAAGAAAGAAAAAAAAAGACCAAAACCAAAAAAGAATGACCAAATAAAATTCCATGCATGTGCGTGTCTAAGAATCTTTATAAATGACTGAATACAGTATATAGTAATTGAACATAAAGATTTAAAGATTTTTAAGGGATATAATTAAATAAATATACTATTTCCATAAGGACAATTAATCACATACTTTATTATATGAAACTCTATAATCTATTTGAACTTATGTTAACTAAATAACAAATAGTCAATTACTAGTAAGGATTATATGCGAGAAAAAATTAATGAAAATTTTATTTAAAATAATTATTTCTCTTCCACGAACCTATAGTTTTTTGTTTCAATTTAAATGAGGTTTCACTAATTTTAGGTGTTATAATATGTTTACTTGTTTATCCCTATTTATCCATTTACTCATTATGACACATGTAATAAATGTATCTTGGAGGAATAAGATAGAGATTTTATTTGATTTTTTAAATAATGTGCAAAACCTCAAAATATCATCTATTATGAACCAGTGTTCTAGAATACGCTATACGGTAGGCGTACAGTGGAGCATAGCGTATAGACGTCTGTTTATGCGGGGACTATACGGTGGATATTTTTTTGTTAAATAAATAAATATATATATATATATAATAAAAAAATATAAATATAGTAACATGATGAATACTATACATGAATACAAAAAAATTTAAAATTTTCAAATTTACAAAATATTTTTAAAATTTTAAATAACTAATAAGCATAAAAATAATAGAAAATAATGACAATAAAGTTATTTATAGTTGCAGGAAAAAAAAAGTTATTTATAGTTAATTATTATGATTAATTTTTTAGAGCCAAACTAATAATTTTGTTAAATCATTTTTCCAAACATTAATGAAACGATATAGTTTGTGTTTTTGAGCATTTTTTTTAAAAAGCGCCGTATATGCGGAACTAACCATATATACGCCGTATAATCGCTGTATATACGGACCGTATAGATTTTACCGTATTAAACAACTGTATAGCTATAATACAGTACGGCTTCCCACCGTACAACGTATATGCGGCCGTACAGACCCGTATTTATTGTTATGAACATATATAGTGAATAAAGATGTTATGCAAAGACAGCTAAAGTCAATGATAAATTGATGACATGTCTGGTTGAGATTATATGTTTAAAATGCTTAAATTAGTATTTTTATTAGTTGTATAAAGTGACTTTATAGTTAGTCTTTTACTACTCTAAAACGTTTTCTTTAAATGAAATATAGAGTTTTTCCACGCAAAAGATAGTATAGATAAAATTCTCTGGCCCTCAATTGAGGTTTCTCAGAACTTAGTTATAGCTACATGTTTCGCCGTCAAAAAAAAAAGTTATAGCTACATTTTTCATGAGAGATGTTTTAGCAGATATCATTTACTGATTCTGTTTTTTAAAAACAATCATTTTAGTGATTCTATGAAACATATTTCAAGAAATTGTCTATAAAGGAAAGAAACCGGGAAACATGAAAGTATTTGAAGTTCATATAGATATTAGATTTAAAATTTAATTTACTAGCTTAACTCATACTATTACTAAAACAGAATTTCCTTTTTCTTTTGTTAACTACACTAAACCTGGTTTGAGGAACCGTCTACGTTTAACCGGATCCATGTTCTGAAATAATAGATAGGGCTACGGAGCGCAAAACCAAATATATTTGTTTTTTTGTTTTTTTTTTGGTTTAAATGTTAAGAAGCAAAAGATAAATATCTCTAAAGTTACAGATAAAACAAGTTGGGCAGTATAAGCTAGGTAAATGAAAGAAAAGAATATATATTAGAGTTGGTATTAGAAACTAAAAAAAAAGGTACTAGTAAAAATTGAGTGAAAAAATATTTATTTTTAAAATGAACTACTAAAAGATTGAGTATAAATGTAACACATTTTTATTAAATGAATCTAGTAAATATTTTATCTTTTCCGAGGTTGACGTGGTGTGGAGTATCTTCAGGCATTGTAGTGGTGGCCCTTTCTCGGCCGACGGGAGATTTTATAACCGATTTCTTCGGGTTGAGGACACTGGAGAAGTTGCAGTGGAGTCTCTCGCTGCTCAACCGCCTGGTGGATGATGCGATTACTGCAGATAACGCTTAAGATTGATGGGTTTTCGGTGGTTAACGGTCGATCTGGTTTAAATCTGAGATGGTGTCTCCGGATTACTTCTTTTGAGGGTTTATCTTAGTCATCGTCCCTCTCAACTCGCCGTGTTTTGCTTACACCGGACCGGATTGAAGATTTATTTACCTCGAAGAGGATTTCTGGTTCACGTTTTATGTAAAAATCTAGTTTGCCTGAGTCATTGTCCCTCTCAAGTCATGTAAAATTATAACATGTTACCGAGAAATATCAATAAATGAATTTGTTATTTTCTTAAATATTACGTTTTTCATTGTCATAATGTGCAAATACTCTAAAAGTAAAGTGAATAAACAAATTAGAATAGAGTATTTGATGGTATAAATCACACATCTCATAATAATATACTCCCTCCGTTTCATAATATAAGGCGTTTTAGATAAAGTTTTTTGTTTCAAGTCGTTTTCGAGTTTCAATGCAAATTATACATTATTTTAATATTTTATAATTATTTATATTATGCCATCTCTTTTATGATTGATTGAACTTTTAAAAAATAGATTTTTTTAATCGGCGTGCTTTTACCTAAAACGACTTATATTATGAAACAGAGGGAGTAGTAATTAATGTTTCATACATATTAAAAGACCAACGGTCTCCCTTTGTTTCATATAAAAGTCAGGAAGACGTGAACAAATAATATAACACAATAAAATCAAATACTCTATTCTAATTTGTTAACTCTTTACCACAAGAGGAGAGGACCTTTTGCTCTTGAAGAAAAGGAGACAAGATTGAGAACTGTAGTTTTGTTCTTTTCTTTGAAACAGAAAGGATAAGGAGACTTGGAGGAAGAAGATGAAGAGTTGGGGAAGCATAAGATCGATATTCATGCATGCGGACGGTGTAGATTGGATATTGATGGCGTTAGGCTTAATCGGAGCCGTTTGTGATGGCTTCATCCCTCCTGTTATATTTTTCATTTGTAGCATACTACTGAACAACCTCGATGGCTCCTCTTTCGATGATGAAACCTTCATGCAAACCGTTTCCAAGGTCTTTTCTCTATCTCTCTCTTTCTTCAATTTCCTCTTTGTTTTCTGTTTTGGTCTTTAACTAGACATGACATATTAACAAAAGAAAAACAAAAAAAAAAAGAAGTAAATATGAAAAAACTATACCAAACATGGCGTCATACTTTAAAACATTGTATATATTAATATATATCACTAATTGACAACGCTTTCGAGACGGAACCATGTGAACCATGACGTAAAATGCCACGACCGTGTTTAAGGAAAAGAACACTAATGTATCTTCCATTTTTTTTTTTTTTTTTTCGCATTGGGTAATTCACAGAATGCTGTAGCTTTGCTTTATGTGGCTTGTGTAGCTTGGGTGATATGTTTCATTGGTAAGTCTTCATAGACCATTTTTCAGTCCCTTTAAAAAAAAACTCCTAATTTGATGCATTTCAATGTAACTAAACACTATTTAATTTTGTTGATGGTTTGCATATTTATTAACAAACCAGAAGGATATTGCTGGACAAGAACAGGAGAGAGACAAGCGGCAAAAATGAGAGAGAAGTACTTAAGAGCAGTGTTAAGACAAGATGTGGGTTACTTTGATGTTCATGTCACAAGCACTTCTGATGTTATCACCAGTGTCTCTAGTGACAGCCTAGTTATTCAAGACTTCCTCAGTGAAAAGGTCTCATCTTTTATCTATCATATTGATCTTGTTTCTTGTTTTTAATCAATTTTTTTTTATGATTTTGATTTCAAGCAGTTACCAAACTTTTTGATGAATACATCTGCATTTGTCGCAAGTTACATAGTGGGTTTCATATTGCTGTGGAGACTCATAATCGTAGGCTTCCCGTTCATCCTCCTCCTCTTGATCCCTGGACTAATGTACGGACGTGCCCTCATCGGCATCTCGATGAAGATACGCGAGGAGTACAATGAGGCTGGCTCTATAGCTGAACAGGTCATCTCGTCAGTTCGAACCGTCTACGCATTTGGTAGTGAGAAAAAGATGATCGAGAAGTTCTCAACTGCGCTTCAAGGGTCGGTGAAGCTTGGGTTGAGACAAGGGCTAGCTAAGGGAATCGCCATTGGGAGCAATGGTATCACTTATGCTAGTTGGGCGTTCCTGACTTGGTATGGAAGTCGGATGGTTATGAACCATGGCTCCAAAGGCGGTACTGTATCCACTGTCATTGTTTGCGTCACCTTCGGCGGCACGTAAG